TTCTGGTTTTCCCAGATTCCTGAAACAACTGGAATGGCTGTTATATCCCTAGGCAACAAATTGAAAGCCAGCCAAGTACGCATCAACAGATGAACACATGTACAAAAATCAGTGTGTATACACATTGGAATTATTTTTGAGCAATAAAAAGAAATAAAGGTACTTTAAAGGTTAAAAAAGTAATGACGCTGAATCCTGAAAATATATTAAAGGGAAGCAAGCCACACAAAAGGACAAAATATTACCTAATTCCATTTACATGAAATACCTAAAATAGGTAAGCACATAGAGATAAAAGTAGATTAAAGGTTACCAGGAGCTGAAAGGAGTAAGGAGTTATTGCTTAATGGCTTCTATGTAGTTTCTATATAGAGTAATTAAAAAGTTTTAGAAATCAATCGTGATAAGGGTTGCATACATTGTGAATATAATTGTCACTGAATTCTACACTTAAAAAAAGGAAATCCAGACATCCCAATAGGCTCAAAGGTTAGTCATGAAGCATCTCTGTGATTACAAGATTACAAGTAGGTTTACACAGCAAATATATTTACATGTAGATTCTGCTGAACATAAAAATCTCTGGACACTATCTACTAGACTCCAATTTCTGTAAAAGATCACCGCTTTCCATATCTGATAATCATTCCTTAGATTTAACAGATCTGTGTATATGAACATCAATTTTTTTTGAGGGGTGATGGATCTTGAAAGAAATAGAATTTTAAAGCTAAAAGGAATCTCAGGTCAAAAATAAGGAACATTCTGATGATTTCTTTTTGAAGAAATGTCCATAAATCATGTTTTCTTCAGAATGATAGCTCTAAACAAGGAAGGTAGTAACATTCCAGGTTTCAGTGATGCCTTAAAAAGACTGCACAATCTTCAAGAGGCTTTAATTTTTTTCTCAGAGGAAGAGCTGCTATAAATAATATTCACCAAAGTGACTATGCCAAGGCAACATAACTAGTTTTCAATCCATGCTCATTTTTCTCCTTTTGAGAAAGAGGTTAGATGCCTAAAGGTCCCCAATTTGATATACTAGGTATGTGCTTTCAGATAATTTTCACTGAAAGTCAATGGGCCTTCAAACTGGTCATCTCCACCCTAATGGACTCACTGATGACTCCTGAAACCTGCTACTCTAGCGCTTCCAAAAGCTGTAAATGCCTGAGTTCCCCTAGCAAAACAGCTACATGTCTATTAGAAACACACAGGCTTTCTAAATCCATCCACATTCCTAGCCTTTACAGAACATTCTTCAATCATGTCAACATCTTTTAAAAAGGCATTTGGGTTTTGCAAGATGAAAAGAGTTTGGGAGATGGATGGTTGGTGATGGTTGCACAACAATGTAAACATATTTAATGCCACAGTACACTTCATTGTTAAACTCACAAATTTTGTGTGTATTGGAGTTATTTTTAAGTGCACTTGGCTCCATATTTTTAGCATGCAAATTATCCAATTTGTGGAATTTATGTCACTTGTTTCTTTTCATTCTCATTCTCTCTGGCTATTTGCTTTAACACCAAGTAGGATGCATGAAAACCTAATTATATAACCAAGAAGCAAAAGATGCTTGGGCTGGGGATTTAGCTCAGTGGTTCTGGTGCCTGCCTCATAAGCACAAGGACCTGAGTTCAATCCCTGGTGCCAAAAAAAAAAAAAAGATGCTCTATTTCTGGCATTCCCTCACTTGACCACTTCAAAACACAAGTGAGGAAATGCTTCAGATTTAACCAAAGAAAATATTTTTAAAAAATTTAAACTGCTGTTAAAGGAGTTTTTGTTTCTAATGTGAAGCAGTATTTTTGATCCCCATGGAGAAAATAAGATTAGGGACTATCAATGCCAATCATCCAGTATACGAGTGAATATGCAAACAGCTATAGAGACAAAAATCACAAAGACATATGAGATAACAAAGCTAAACATATTTCCTCTAGGGTTTTAAAACTACTGTGTCACATACCAGGGACTCTTCAAACAAAGTCTCAGATCTTAACAAAAATTAGTCCTTTCATGTATCAGTTTGTTTTTTGCTTGTTTTTTGAGACAGGGTCTAAGTATGTACTTGAGACTGAACTGGAACTCACTATGTAGCCCAGGCTGGTCTCGAACTCACAGCAATCCTCGTGCCTCAGCCTCCCAAGTGCTGGGATTACAGGCATGCGCCACCACACCTGGCTATCTCATGTATCAGTAAAAAGCAGTGCCTTCTGCATTTTGTTAATAAAGTTAACAGATTCAAGGTGGGGATGCTCAGTGGCAGAACCCTCTGATTCAATTGCCAGTACTACCAAAATTAAACAAAAAGACTGTCATATGCATATTCAGACTCAGAAGATAGAAAAATAAACTAGACATACTGGCTTTTGATATCCTTTTATGATGATAACATTATATTTCTTTTAATATAATAAGTGAATTAAACTTAGTTGCTTCATAGTAAAATAATAACATCCAGGGAAGAAAATAACCTGTAAATATAAAAAACTGACCACTCACAACAGGGTCATCTATATATTTTGATTTATGGTTCTCAAACCTGACTGGCCACCAGAAGTCCCTAGGAGAGAAAAGTAGGGAGAGGAAGAAAAGAGAGGAAGAACAAGAAAAGCATTTAAATAACACTTTTCTAAACTCAGTCCAGTGGGAGATTGGCAAGTAAGGTAATAAGGTCTGGGGATCTACAATGACAAAGCTCCCTAGAATAGCAATGGCAAACTTATGGCACACGCCCTGGAGCCAGCTGTTTCTTATCCTTGAAAGCTCTACAAGATTCACGTTGCCCTAGAAGACAGTGATGACCAATCATGTTTTACAACTTTCTTCCTTAATTGTTCTTTTATGAAAGGAGTCTGTTTTTTCTTTCTACCAGTCTTCTATCCTTCTATCTTTCCTCTACCACCTAGAGCCAAGAATTGAACCCAGGAGCTCACATAGAAGCTTTATCATGGAGCTACTTCCCCAGCCCTTTTTGTTCTTTTGAGATATGATCTAAGTTGTCCAGGCTGACTTCAAACTCTTGCCTTAGTCTCCTGAATAGTTGGGATTATAGGCATGCCTTGCCATGTCTACTTTTTAAGCAATAAAATACCCTACTGCAAGCCTAACAGTAAGGTTCACATGCATTATTTCATTTAGTTATCAAAACAGTCCTGTGAGATAGACAGTATTATTCCCATTTAACAGATAAGGAAACTATAATCTAGAGAAATTAACAAAAGTACTCAACCAACAACTAACGGAGACAGAATTTAAAGTTATACTTATATATCTCCAAAGCCCATCTCTCCTAGAAGCAGTACAGTAGAGCAGAATGAAAATAGCTTTGAATGACTGAATCGGAGCCTAGGTCCTCATACCTTTAGAACAATTCTCTCTCCAATTCATTTGTTTCCTCATCTGTAAATAAGGCTACTAATACCTATCCTGCCTATCGCAAGATTTTTTGAGACTGAAGATATGAAAATACTTTCAAAGGCACGAATTATCAAAAAAAAAAAAAAAAGCTACTAATGGGGAATTAGAAAATACTAATTGAGTAGCACAGTAGCTGGTTAAATGAAGACTTTGCAACCAGACATTATAGGACTCATTCCAAACTCTGCTACTTCCTAGTTATGTAACCTTGAGGAAGTTACTTCACTTCTATGCAATAGTTTCTTCATCTGTAAAATAGAGGTAAATAAAACCAATCTCAGAATTTTCTAAGGGTTAAATGAATTAAGGCATGTAAAATGCTCAGAATATTCTTTGCCACAAAGTAAATACTTGACAAAATTGAGTGTTAGAATTCTACTCAATTTTAAAAAGCAGCATCACATTTTTAAAAAAATGTTCAAATGCTTAACAATAGTACAAAAGAAGCACAGAAGATGCTGACCATATTTTTCCTTACAAAAAGCTGGATAAATTCCAACAATTCTGGAAGTAAACAATTCAGATAGTTTCAATTTTCAATCTAAACTATATGGCTTCCAAAATGCTTCATCTGTGCATTTAAAAATATCACTTAACAACTTTTTCCTCTAAAAACATTTCATTTGTTTATTAAAGTAATTTTGTTAAAGCATTATTATACTTTTATTAGTGTTTTGATAATTTTGCTTCAAATACCCTTCTACATAAGATTTGATGTCTAATTAAAACACTAGCTTTCAAGAGGAAAAATGTAACAAGCTGAATCAAAAGATTGTGAAAATGTCAAAACAAAAGGGTGCTAGTCTTAAAAGAGTTATTTACTAAGAATAACAAAGAGAAATAAGGGAATAATTCTCACTAAAATAATATAATTTAATGATGATCATAAAAATTCTTTTTACCAGATTGGTTTCTAGTCCAGACAGAGTTAGAATGTGAAACAAAGTTGGCACTTCACTAAGAAATTCCAGCTGCAGGTTATCCTAAATATCCGATATACAACAGGAAATGTAGCTACTGATTCAGTGGATTTCACCACTTCCCTTATTTAAAAAATTTCTTCTGAGATGCCAACAAGCTGGAAAAAAAGGTTCCAAAAGCTGTTACTAGTCAAGAGTTAAATATTAAAAATTCCACTGCATAACCCAATGAGCATTTTTATAATATAGTTATTATATCTCCAACACTCTACGCTAAGTCTAAATTCTGAAAATTTAAAACACCAGGAATAACAATGGAACTCAAGTAACTCACAAAAATATGATGAAAAATTAATTTTAAATGAACTGAATGGACATCCAAGTTCTTTGTTTTTTTGTTTTTTACTTTTGGTACCAGGGATCAAACTCAGGTCCTTGCACTTGCAAGGCAGGTGGCAGAACCACAAGCTAAATCCCCAGCCCCTCAAGTATTTTTTTAATTCTAACATGGTATTTTAGAGGTTAGACTAACATCCTATTCACAGTAAACATTCTGAAATTGGTTCAGTAAATATTTGTATCTGTCACCCCAGTATTTGTATGATGCTCTCACCTGAACTGAAATATTGAAAGAGAGTTTATCACACATACCTCTCTGGCAATGTTACTCAAAGCTTCATCTTCTGCAGAAAATCGATCTTTCACAGGTGTTCTTTTTCTTCCAGAACCTGGAGTCCCCATCTTGTGTTCTTAATAGTCTTTTAAATCTGAAAGTAACTTCACTTTATGTTCAGTCCTGAAATAAATAGAAATACAATTTAGAATGTTTCTTTGTGCAGCTTTAAGGCTCTTTTATACATTCAATTTTAAAAGAGAATTATATTTCTTTTTAGAGAAACTAATAAATACCTTTTCCAAATTATCCCAATAAATTTTACAATTTAAATGTGTATTAATAACTTAATTTCATTGTTATCGACAACAATGAGTTGTATTATCACAAAAAAACTGCATTAAGCAGCAATGCTCTCAGTTTAAAATTATTTCTAAAATCTATTTCCATTCCAAAGTGAAAGACATTTCAGAAATGTCATTCAGCATAAAGTTTTAGAAGAACAATGTTTAAGAGGTTTTAATATTTAGCCTTAAATGTAGATACATTAGTAACTTTGCTTTTTAGTGTAATTTTCAAAAATTCCAATTAAATAACCACAATAAAAGAACAACTGAAGTCTTATTCTACAATTAAAATGTAGACATAGTGGCACAGCAACCTGCCTCCCAAGTTCAAGGACCCAAGTTTGATCCCTTGTACTTAAAAAAAAAAAAAAAGACATTCTAATTCTAGACACATAAAAATTAGTGACCCCTTAAGTTACGACCAGCCTGACATATGAACAGCTTGGATTACGACCAGAATTTTAGTTTTAACTTACAACCAAAGTCTTGAGTTATGACCCAAATGTCAGCCACTTGTGTTCCCAGATGGTCGCAGATACATATTTAACCTTTCAAGAGTTATGGAAGGAACATTACAACACCCTTTCCTGGGTGGAGTTAATTGAGAAATCCTGGGTCAGAGTCTCTCTAAGGACACTGAGATCTGCCTGTATACAGGGGAGAGCCTTGGAAGTCTGTGTAGAGCATGACCAACTTGAGTTACAACCAGCCCTAGAAAAGAAATTAAGTTTGTAAGTCAATGGTCCACTATACACAGGAAAAAACAGACTTGGCTGGAAGAAATTAATAGTGAAGCAGTGATTTTGTCTGCTTGCTTTCTGAAACAGATCTAGCCCAGACTGGCCTCCAACTCACAGCAAACCTCTTGCCTCAGCCTCGCACCTCACCCTCCCAAGTGCTTATATTACAGGTATACACAATATCTGGTGATTTAAAAAAAAAAAAAAAAAAAACAGGATCATGAACATATTTTTTGCTTCTTGAATCTGTGAAATTTCAGCAGCATTGAGGAAAGGAAGATATAACATTATTCCTGGAATAAATATGAGACCTGCTGTTGCCAAGTACTACATGCTAACGATAAGAGCAATCAACAAAACTGATGCATTGTGCTGGGGATTTAGCTAGTGGTGTCACCACCTACCTTGCAAGCTTAAGGTCTTGAGTTCGATCCCTGGAGGGGGGGATACTGATGCAGCTTAATAATTAAGAACATATCTATGGATTTATATAATTATAATTATTAAATAGACCTATTTTACAAAAGAAAAGACAAATTCACCTATCAGGACTAAATAAGAAGGATAATAAAGACCATCTAACCTTTCTAATACATGACAGGGCCGGGGATTTAGCTCAGCAGTTCAGTGGCCTGCCTTGCAAGCACAAGGACCCAAGTTCAATCCCTGGTACAAAAAAAAAAAAAAAAAAAAAAACACTCCCATGACAGGGGGCCGGGGATTTAGTTTAGTGGTTCACTGCCTGATTGGAAAGCACAAGGTCCCAAGTTCAATCCCTGGTACCAAATAAAAAGTTTAGGTTCAATCCCCAGCACTGGGGGGGATAAAAAGAAAAGAAAAGAGAAATTCTCAAGTCTCCCCTAAAAGAACAAACTATATTAAAACTATAAGTGACTTTAAAGCACTAAAATTTACTTGATCCAAGCAAAATAAAGCAGAACCACATCCCAAAAGTTTTCTCCAATAAAAATTTAGGCCATTCGCATCATATCTGATATCATTTTTTATTACCCAAAGTTACCCTGTTATACGGTGTCAAACATAATGAAGACTGTTGATGGTTTTTTACTTCATATGGAAGTGATTATTAAGAAAATAATTCATTCAAATGGAAGCAAACAAAAATGTACATCTAAAAAAGAGTTGCTGATAAATCAAAGACACAAATCAGGTCAATTCCTGAAAAGCAGAATTTTTTCAGAAGTCTTCAATCATTTCAGCTTTTGTGTAATTTGAAAGATTATTCACTGAATAATATATAAAAATATTGCTATTTACTAAGAAAAAAGCACAATACATTACAAAATTCATTTTTAGACTGGAGTGGTAATTTAACTAATGTACTAATGTAACTAATGTATTGGAACCATCCAATATCTGTCTTCAGACCACTTTCCAAGGACACACTAAAAATCATTTCATAGAAGCAAAAGGGAAGAAATGTAAACATATTCTTATTATTAACATGTAAAAATAATTACAACGGGAAAAAACAGCCTTGGCTAGAAGAATATCAATAGTTTAAGTGATTTTTGTTTTTTTTTAAGTAGAACGGAATTATGAGTGTATTTTTTGCTTCTTGAAGCTCTGAGGTTTAAATAGCACTGAGGAAAAGGAAATACGTTTTCTAAAAAAAATAATTAGACCTAGAGCTAAATTACTAAACTGGCCTCAATAGTGGATGGCATTCTAAATAGGCACAATACATCAGACAACTGAGATACACTATCTGAAATGGCTACTGATGGTATTCTTCCAAATGTACCTTTTCCTCCTCTCTCCCTATAATCAATTTTCCTTCTTCCTTAAATAATACTACCTATGCCTTAAATCTGGCAGGATACTACTAGCCCACAGATTATATAATAATTATCCTTTCTTAAAACATCTTAACAAGCTCTACACTAGTCAACTTTGAGAAAAAGATAACAGTAAAGAGACATAAGCACAGACACGGCGGGTGCGCGACCTCCTGGACTGCATGCCACCAGATCCAGTAAGGACCCAAGGACCCCAGAGGAGGTATCTCCAGCTGCCTGCCCGGGACCACCCAGCAGGTGCATGACCTCCCAGACTGTGCGCCCCCAGATGCAGTAAGGACCCAAGGACCCTGGAGGTCTCTCCAGCTGCCTGCCAGGGACCACCCAGCAGGTGCATGACCTCCCGGACTGCACGCCATCAGATCCAGTAAGGAAGGTTGAAACAACCCCACAACCTGCTCCTCCTCCCCCGGTTCTCAAACCTCCTGATTGGGCCAGTCCTTGGACCCACTCTGCAGAGGCATAGGTGCTCATGAAGGGTAGTTTTCTGAGCTCCCAACTTTGAACATCTTTAAAGAAAGGGGAGGGGAAACCTGTAATAGAACTGAGTGGAGTTCAATCCTGCGGGTTGGGAAACTCAGGTTAGACCTTGTGGACTGAGGTCAGTCTCAATCGTGGGGACCTGGCATTTGCTAGCCAAGACCAAGGGATTCGGTTCTGCATATGGCTGTACATGTAGTATAATATGACAACAGAGACATAGTCTTAAAGAGGCCCTTCAAATTCTTTTTTTGTTTTCCTCATTCCACCCTAAAATTTCTTTCTTTCTTTCTTCTGTCCTCTCTCTCCAACTCAGTTTCTTGCTACACCATATTATCCCTCATCTCCCTTTTGATACCTGCTCCTGCCCTAACTCAGACTTCTTCTTTTATTAATTTTCCCTTTTTTGGGGGGGTGTTTTGTTTTGTTTTGTTTTTTCTTTATGTTCTTTTCTCCAGTCATTTTACCTCACTCATGGCTCTGTAGCTTCAAGGGAAGGCAAGCGCCTGTTATTGTTAAGGGGATATATTCGTGTCCTTATTCCTGCACTCTGTCTATCCCCTCTGAAGCTGATAGCTTTGTAAAGAAATTAAGGTCATTCTAAATCCTCTCGTTTCACTTCAAACCTGCTCCAGTTCTTTCACTTATCTACTCCTCTCATCCTAATTCAGTCTAACCCCCTATCCTAAATTGTAAAGATGCTATATTGAAAAGCGTATTCACTGCAAACATATTTTGGGCTGCTTCTTGATATTAATTTAATTCACATGGTTTAAAGGTGATAGATTAATGACTGCCACAAGTGGTCAGTTTGCAAGCTGTGCTTGATCCTATTGGGCTGCTGAATGTATCAACTGGGATAAAGGATTGTGATTGATTTAATGAGTTTTCTCTGATATCATGAAAATGAGGATGTCTATGAGTTATTAGAAACTCAAAAGCTAAAACACAACTATATCAGGAAGATTTAAGTAATACCCAGAAATTAAAGGACAACCCAACAACAAAAATAAAAATATAATACACTTAAGCAAGACACAAACACAGATTTCCAGTTCACTAATGGCAAACAGTAGGACAAATGAGGATGAAAAGTCTGATAGTGAACCAGCAGGACACCCTAGACCCATAGCACAGGAGGTAAAAAAACAGATCAATCAGGCTCTAGAAAAACTCAAATCAGAAATAATTTCCCAATTAATCATAGAGATGATGAGCAAAATGGAAGTCATGATTCGAACTCTAAAACAGAAACTGACAAATAAAAAAGATGAGCTCAAGACCATGATAGAAGCCATGAAGGCCCAGCATAAGAAAGAAATGGAAACAATGAATGCCCAACAGAGGAAAGAAATGGACTCCATAAAACAGATTCAAACAGATATCCAGGAGATTAAAAACTCTTTTGAAAGTGTACACAACAGAATAAAAGATAGCAAAGATAGAATTTCAGATATAAAAGATAGGATCACAGTCAGCGACCGAGAAAAAAGAGGTCTCTCCACATGGCACCAGATGTAACAATTCCCAATTTGAAACTATACTACAAAGCCACTGTGATAAAAACAGCATGGTACTGGCAAAGAAATAGGCCTGAGGATTAGTGGAACAGACTGGAAGACACAAAAACAAATGCAGATGTACTCAGCTACCTCAACTTTGAAAAGGAGCTGACCATCCCCAGTGGTGGAAAGATAGCCTCTTTAATAAATGGTGTTGGAAAAACCGGATGTCAACCTGCCACAGATTAAAATTAGACGCTTATCTTTCACCATGCACTAAATTAAAATCCAAATGGATTAAAGATCTAAATATTAAAACAGAAACATTAAACTTGCTGGAAGGTAAGTTAGGCAGAACTCTGGAAGACATTGGTATAGGAAAAGACTTTATGAACAAATACTCAGTAGCAAGGGAACAAGCAGATAGAATCAACAACGGGGATCGCATCTTACTCAAAAGCTTCTGTACTGCAAAAGAAACCATCAGCAGAACTAAGAGACTATCTACAATGTGGGAAAAAATTTTTACCAGCTGTTCCTCAGACAAAGGACTATTATCAAGAATACATAAAGAACTCAAAACAATCAGTCCCCCCAAATATAAAGATCCGATTCAAAAATGGGCATCCAAAATGAACACACATTTCTCAGACAAAGAAGTAAAAGCAGCAAGAAAATATTTGAAAAAATGTTCCACATCACTGGTCATTCAAGAGATGCAGATGAAAACAACACTGAGATTCTACCTTACCCCACAAAGAATGGCTGCTATCAAGAAATCACACAATAACAAATGTTGGCGGGGTTGTGGGGAGAAAGGAACCCTCCTCCATTGTTGGTGGGAGTGCAGACTAGTGCAACCACTATGGAAATCAATATGGAGATACCTCAAAGAGCTTGGACTGGAGGTTCCATTTGACCCAGCCATCCCTCTGTTGGGTATCTTTCCAAGAGAACTAAAAGAATCATATCACAGAGAAGTATGTGCACCCATGTTTATAGCGGCACAGTTTGTAATAGCTAAATCTTGGAAACAACCTATTTGCCCATCCGTTGGAAACTGGATAAAGAAGTTGTGGTTTTTCTATAAAATGGAATATTACTCAGCCATAAAGAGCGAGAGAATAGATTCATTCATAGGAAAATGGATACATATTGAAGATATACTC